AATCTTAAGTTGTATATTATATGGATGACACTGAATGAGCATCCATCCCCTGTAATACCATTCCCTGTAATAATTGGATACTTTTTTGTCATTGTTTCATTGATTCTACATTGTTATTACAGAAAGCACCTGAAAGAAAGGCTTCTTTTCATGTGTCACTATTTGGCCAATGAATTATGGCACGTTGCTCGTAGACTACTAATACTGTTAATAGATGTAAAATACCTGGAGATTTGAATTGGAACAAGGCCAGCATTGTAAAGGTTATACGAGGAATCTAGTGTTGTAAAGGCCAGCATTGTGAGTCTCGGAGCTCACTGGGCCCAGCCAGCCGGAGCAGCCTAAGTTGAGTTTTGCGCGTCGGATGACTCGAGTCTGTCTCACCGAGCCTTCTTCATTTCCTGGTTGGCTAGTAGAGTAAATTCGTATGAAGCATAGTTTTGTTGACTCCGGTTAGATCCGACCTGAACCAGTTCGATCCTTTTTCTTTTAGAAGACAGAAACGGTACAGCCCATCACTCCAGTCCCGTTCTTCCTGGTTAAGTCTTTCCAACATACGCGTGTAAGTGTACGGCGAACGGCGAGGCACATTAACCATCATTACCTTCGCAAGCGGCCCAATCCCATTAAGAAAAGCCAATTTGACTGACGTCTTCGACTTAGGGAGATGTGCCCATGTTCTTCTAATATATACAGATACAGATACTTGTGCATTGAACTTGGACCTCTCATCCTCCTCAGGAGGCGCAATTGAGTCCCCTGGTCCTCCGCCCCTTGGACGCCACCAAAGAGCGAGCAACCCCTTTCGTGCCCGCGCTTGCTTACTCCGTTTTCGCTTCCCCTTTCTGCCTTCTAAATTCTTCTACTTTGTGGTGCCGCCGTCGGATCAAAGAAAACCACAGCTTCTTAACACCTCCCCATCCTTCCCTCCTCAGCGCAACGACCGCAATGGCTTTAGCTTCCGCCTCCGCCGCCGCTTCCTCCTCCTTCGCAACGAATCCACAGCGCTTCTCCTCTTCCAAATCTCATCCCTCGCCCAAATCCCCTCCTCCCCCCTTTCCCCTCTCCTTCAACATCCGCCCCTCCCGTTGCCCCGCCGTCTGCTCCTCATCCGCTTCCTCGCCCTTCACCGAGGCGCACTCCGCTGCCAGGTACCGACGAGATAGCTGGGTCTACGAACCCGCCTCGTCTTCGCCTTTCTCCGCCCAATGCCATTCCAGCAGCGTTGACGACAGGGAGAACGAGATCGCCCTTCAGTTGCCTGAGCTCAAGAAGCTCCTCGAAGCTCTCAGGGCCGCCAGGCAGGCTGGCGGCGGCGACGGCGGTAGTGCTAGGCCGGGGAGCGTCGCGCTGGTGGGGACGGGGCCGGGGGATCCGGACCTGCTGACGCTTAAGGCGGTGCGAGCGATTGAGAAGGCCGATCTCATCCTCTATGATCGGTTGGTGTCCAATGATGTGCTGGGTTTGGTCAGAGCTGATGCTAGATTGCTCTATGTCGGAAAGACTGCCGGGTACCACAGTCGAACTCAGGTTCGTCACTGCTTTTTGAATGGAAGATCCTTCTTCTCAGCTCACACTGTATTCTACCGGTTGCAATTAGTGACCGATCAAATGTGTATCATTTTCACTGGTCTCGGATGTTCTTTACTTCTTTGCTGTATTACTGTAGGAGGAGATTCATGAGCTGCTTCTGAGCTTCGCTGAGGCAGGTGCCAATGTGGTGAGACTGAAAGGAGGAGATCCTCTGGTGAGTTTTCTCTGCATTTTACTCGTTGTGAAGGATTAGGGTAAGCTACATCTGGACCATTTAAAGAACATCAAAGGAATTTTATTTCATTTTAGTATTTAGTTTAAGTGCATGGATATTGATAGTGATGTTGGTGATCACTAGTTTATATCATACTGTTCCAAGTATATCTGTGCTTATTCCAAGTATCTTCATGTTGGAGTCGTCTGATGTGATCCTAATCCTGCAATGTTTTGAGAGGCCAAAATTATGGATATAGAAAAAAAGTTACAACATCCCCTTTTCTCTTTGATTCTTACCTTGCAGTTCATCTCTGACTATCCAATTAAAGCTGAATAGGATAAGTGTAAATGTTACCTCAGGACACTATATTTCAACCTGGTGATGTTCATGAAAATATGAAGGGATTTTTGCAAAAAAAAATTGTGCATGCTTCATGATGCTATGTTAAATCTTTTATAGGATGTATATGTTGGTTGATATATTATTACGCTGCAATAGTCGAAACTAACATAGTTGAAGCTAGATTGAGAGAAAATGAAAACAGAATGACTGTCATATATGTATGTAGGGATGGAGTTTCAACTTTCAGCTATCTATTATCTTGGTAGGAAAAGCCCACAGCTAACTGATACTTAAGACACCTGATGCAAGTCATTTTTTTTGGTCACCCAAGCAACTTAATCCACCTAGCTTCTTTAAAAGAGAAATGGAGAAAAAGTGGTTCTGTCAGAAATTGGAGCATGTCCATACCTAAGGTTAAGAAACACTGCCAACTGCTGATTCATACTTGTTTCTTGCACAAACTTATAATCCTTAACTTCTCTTGCTGTGGATTGGGCTTTAAGTTTGTCACAGCAATGATTGCTGATTGTACATTTTATTTTAGATATTTGGCAGAGGTGGAGAGGAAATGGATTTTTTACAGCAACAAGGAATCAGTGTCAAGGTTATTCCAGGTATGGAAACTTCTAACTCAACTAACTGTTTATATGAATTAAATTTGTTGACCATGTGTGATTATATTGTCATTTATTCAGGAATAACTTCTGCTTCTGGAATAGCCGCAGAGCTTGGAATTCCACTCACACACAGAGGTGTTGCAAATAGGTAAGTGTAACTTTACCCAGAATGATTCATTTGAATGATTAAATGCAATTGCATGTTTCCTGCTGAATTCTATTAGCTTCGTTTTTCCGGAGGGCTGGACATGTTATCGTTGGATGCTTTGCACCTCTTTGTAACCAAAATATAGCGAATGAAGTCTCATCTTGAATGGATCAATTGTTAGTTGTGGTAGAATTGTGTTAGTTTTTCATGGACGCCTGTCTTTCTGGTGCTGTTTACAGTGACCTGTTCACCTCTGGAACCAACTTGTGAATATTTTTTGAAGTGAAAATTATGATTATCAAATCCCTTTTTTTACAAACATATCTCCTATTATTTTTTGTTAAGGCCTAGGTTATTGATTTCATTACTGTAGATTTCATTATGCTGCCACACTTAGTTAATGGCTAATGATGTTGCATGGTAATATAGTTAATTTTGAGGGCCTTAATCAGTCGCAACGGGTTGCAATGGCCAAATTTGATACATCTGCTAAGGGCTCTGATGCCTCAACTGTGCCTCTTGAATTTGCAAATGTTTTTTTTGACTGTTTTACTATTAGTCTAATCATGTATTCAGATGTACTTTGGTTTCTCTCCTTTGATTTAAACTCATGAAAGGAAAGAAAAAGGAAACTCTTGTCCCAACAATAGTTCTCATTTACTCGTTTTAAGTTCGAGATGATCATCGTGCTGATTTGGCCATAGAATAAGCAGATAAAGTTTTAAAGACCTTTATTCATTCAAATTTTCATTTCTGGAAGAAACTTTACATGGTGATCACTGAATTTGTGTTTGACTTTTATTAAACTCCATAGTCCATACTATACAAATTGCAAATCAAATTGATCTGCATAGGCTCCAACCGTAGTATGTCCATATCATTCTGGTTGTCATGAATTTTTTCTGTGGATAAAGTTTTTCATTAGTTTAACCACTGACAAAGCAAACATAAACTAGTAATGTAGTTTTTTGTTATTTGCAATTTGATGAATTAGTTTTCCCCATAAACACCTTTTGTTTAGTAATGCAGGTTTTGTCATCAGTTACTGCTCTAGCTAGTTTTAGCCATTTCATAAATTATGTTCGTATTCTTAATGTTTGTTCTTTACTGCAGTGTTAGATTTCTGACTGGGCATTCGAGGAATGGAGGTTCAGATCCTTTATATGTCGCAGAAAGTGCTGCTGACCCTGAATCTACATTGGTTGTCTACATGGGTTTATCGACCCTATCAGCTCTTTCTTCCAAATTGATAAATCATGGTTTACCCCCAAATACTCCAGCTGTTGCGGTGGAACGAGGTACTACACCTCAGCAGCGAATGGTAAGTGCTCTAGTAGTTCCATTGAAACAATAAATTCAGTTTATAGGATTACTAAAAATTTGATTTGTACTGAAGGTATCTTCCAATGGTAAATAGATTATTGTCCTTTATCACAGGTATTTTCCATGCTGAATAATCTTGCAAATGAGGTTAGACTAGCAGAATTAGTTTCCCCAACTCTAATTATCATCGGCAAGGTCGTGAGCCTATCACCATTTTGGCCTCAATCTTCTGAAGAAACTGTCATTTCCCGCGGAGAAGATGCAGAAATAGGAATAGCTTCGTCTTTTTCACAGATTTGGAACTCTGAAAACATAGTGTGATGGCTCTTCTATGCTCCCTCTTCAAAGCAATAAATTGGTGTGATGGCTCTTCTATGCTCCCTCTTCAAAGCAGCATGCCCATCCAAGTGACCATGTTAGGATGCCGAGAAAAGATAGTTCATCATCATGATGGAGAAGGCACCTCAAGAGTTTCTTTTAGTACATTCATCAACACTGTAATCGGCCATTTTTAACAGATAAATGAGCTGAATTCTACTGTATTTCTTCATTTTGAGTGATAGTTGAATGCCATTTCCGATGTTGGTGAGCGATTTTTATTTCTTTTTTTTTTGTTGAGAAAATTTGGGGGCTTAGATAGAGAAAAAAAATTATATTCTTGGATAAGACACTGCAAAATGTATCACTCTTATTTATTGAAGAAAATTTGAGGCTTACAGAGAAGAAATCATTCTTGGAGAAATGCTCTCATATTTACTGTCAAATATAAACAATGATGCAGTATGTTCTCCTTTGCCAGGTCGAGAGTAGCGGGAAGAGGCAGATCAATGGTAGATGCATTGACTGCAGGAGCCCAAAGGAAGCTCGTGACGCCTCCTCGCATAAGGACACTTTTGTTCCTCTCTCCCTGTACATGACATGAGAGTGAAACCATGAAAAGGAGCACATCAATGGCGAAGGGGAATCCAGAGCAACTTGGCGGTGAAACGGGCATGCAGTCAAAGCCTGCGGTAGAGGAGGTCGCCATTCAACCTCACCTACAGCGAGAATGTACGTGAAATCTAGCGTGTGGTTCATATGATTCACCTGATCCTTTCCATTCTTTTGTCACGAGAGCTGCAGCTCTCTAATGGCGTCGACGTGGGGAGCATGTGACCAGAGTGCAAGAAGACGATGGACCATCATAAGTAATCATACCACCCACAGTTTTTCCACAGGTTTGTGGAATGACAGACTGTAATAACCATTCACTGTTGTGGTTTCCTCACAGGCTTCGGCAATGGAGGTGTGCACAGTTCATGTCGAGCAGAGAGAGAGAGAGAGAGACGTCGATGCATCTTCTTCTTGGTAACTGTTGAAAGGTCTTCCTCGTGCTAATGGTATTATCACGAGGCAAGCTTGCAGGAGGGACGACAAAATTGTAACTGTGGAGTTACGCCAGGAAGCAAGCTGGATTTGGAGTCTTTTGTCCTCTCGTCGTCTTTCTCTCTCGATCCTCCTCATCCTCATCTGCATCTTCTCCCATTAATCCCATATTAGTGCCGGGGTCTTTCCGTATCGGGATTGCCTCCCATGCATTCCTCTGCTTTGGAAGACAACCCTGCACCCTTCTCTCGCTTGCTTTCCCTCTACTGCTCTCTTCCGTTCTCACGGCTTTGCCGAGCTAGATTTCTCTCTCTCCCTTCAGCTTTAAGACGACAAAGAGATGAGAAGAGAAGCCACCAACCTCGAAGCTCAAGGGGAAATAGTTCTTCTTCTTCGTCTCGCCTCACCTTCCTTTCGAGTGAAGGGAAACTTGATTGAAAGAAAAAAATCCTGAGGATTGATTCCTTTAGGGTAGGAAATACTTATTGGATTGATTTGGACTCCATTTAGTTCTTACAATCATTCTTTCCATAGATCTAAATCCAACTCACTTGTAATTCTTCTCGAATCTTCACAGAGCTACTCTTTGCTTCTCACATTTGCTTTGGTTCTTCGATTCTTCGCTCGCATCTTTTCTTCCCAGTTTTACTACGTCGGCTTCTTTAAGGACCCCCCCCTGTGGGCTGGAAAGCCCTTCACTTGGTCACCGAAGCATCATCAAGATTAGGCCATCAAAACTGGTACGTCTCTTTCTCATCTACTTTTTTTAGGATCTGTTACGTGATCAGCAATTTCGGATTTTTAAGGACGAAACCGATGTGTTGCCGATGTTCCATCGAAAAGCTTCGGTTTTGGTGATTCACTGGCAATGAATTCTTTTTTTGGTGCTGCAGATTTGAGTTATGTTTTCGACCGAAAAATGTCATGAATTTAGATATAAAATTCTGAGTTTGGCTTGCATCGTATGCATTTGGGGGAAAAAGAAGGTGATTTAGGGTTCATGGAAAGATAACATCCCGCTCTTTGTTCCAGGAAGGGAAATGTGGCCTGTTAATTCTCTAAATGCTGAATTATGGGAGAAGACACCAGTCTTTGGCCTGAGAGTTTGGGTTGTGATTGGCATCTCCGTTGGTGTATTAATTGTGTTCATCCTCTCCATCCTGTCCGTATGGGTCACATCTCGCCAGAAGACATCAAGGAGCTTCGACGAACTCCCGGTATCTCAAATCCCCAGTGTCTCCAAGGAAATTACAGTAGACAGAGTTGGACCACAGAGTGTTGCTCAGACTCCTCATGAGCATCGGACGCATTGCTTCTCCTCCTATGACTCCGACAAGACGATGATGTCTAGTGATGCTGACAACATGAGCCAATGCAGCTCAATTCACCACAATGACAGGGACGCAAGTCCATATTCTGGTGACGAAGGTAGCTCAGGACATGCTAGAAGACCACATTCACCATACAGCCTTGTTTCTGCGTCTCCTTTGATCGGTTTGCCGGAGTTCTCACATCTGGGATGGGGTCACTGGTTTACTCTACGGGATCTGGAGAATGCGACGGATCGTTTCTCCAAGGAGAACGTGACTGGGGAGGGTGGATATGGAGTCGTTTATCGAGGTCGTCTTGTTAATGGCACTGAAGTTGCAGTCAAGAGGCTTCTGAACAATCTGTAAGTTACTGACTTCACACTGATCACAGACATTGTGCTTTCAGAATGATCAGCTAATTCTGTGCTCGATTTGGGATTTCCAGGGGACAAGCAGAGAAGGAATTCAGAGCGGAAGCGGAAGCTATTGGCCATGTCCGGCACAAGAATCTGGTCAGGCTTTTGGGTTACTGCATCGAAGGAACTCACAGGTGAAGAAATAGATTTAACTATGCTTTTAGAAATCTTATTTTTACTTGTTAAACTGGTCTGATAAATGCACGATTAATCGGAGACGAAGAAGTATGGCAGACTAATGAACTCCTAACATGTGTAGGATGCTTGTATACGAGTATGTCACCAATGGAAACTTAGAGCAATGGCTTCATGGAGCTTTGCAACAACACGGTGTTCTTAGTTGGGAGAACCGCATGAAGGTTGTCGTCGGCACTGCAAAGGGGTAAGTCTGTGACTTCGCATCGACACAAATATTAATGGTTGTTGATCGAATTCGGGCAATTGTATGGCTTGCAGACTCGCTTATTTGCATGAAGCCGTCGAACCGAAGGTTGTGCACCGCGATATAAAATCAAGTAACATCTTGATCGATGCAGAATATGATGCAAAGATCTCTGACTTCGGATTGGCTAAGCTCTTGGGTTCAGGCAAAAGCCACCTTACTACCAGAGTGATGGGAACATTTGGGTGCATTGACGTCTTCTTCTTCTCTGTGCCTTACTTAGATCCAAAGAACAATCCATACTTAAAATTCTCTTCTCACTTCAGGTATGTGGCTCCTGAATACGCTAATACTGGACTGGTGAACGAGAAGAGCGATGTTTACAGTTTCGGAGTGCTGTTACTGGAAACTGTGAGTGGCAGGGAACCCATAGATCATGGCAGGCCAGCAAACGAGGTAGAACAGATCTTTCGAATTCCTTGGTGGTGGTGTTGTTTCTCCTGCTCTGATCATGGCAATGTCGTCGTCTCTGTGCATTTTATTTAACAGGTGAATCTTGTGGAGTGGCTTAAACAGATGGTCGGGAATAGGAGAACAGAGGAGGTGGTGGATCCAAATCTCGAGGCTAAACCCTCGACACGGGCGCTTAAGCGTGCACTGTTAGTCGCTCTGAGATGTGTCGATCCTGACTCTAGCAAGAGACCCAACATGGGTCAGGTTGTTCGAATGCTAGAAGCAGATGAAGTCAGTTTAAATCTTTCGTCTTCTTTCTGTTTAGGTTCCATGGCAGAATGAATCACTGATGACCACTTATGTTCTCCACTGAGTAGGATCGGCAAAGCCGACGGAGCCATTCAAGAAACATGGAGATTGAATCTTTGAAGAAGAGCAACAGTTTGAGTGACTAAGCATCGAGAAGAAGAGACGATTCAGAAGATCCATTATATATGTATATTTTGCTGAGGAGAAAACAGAGAAGGAACATGTAATGTAAGTTTTGGACTCATCAGGCATGAGAGAACTCGGTCACTCTTCAGATGTATTCGTAGACGCAGTTACCGAAACCTGCAAAAGCGATGGGTCACACAGGCTTTAGTGCTGCAGATGAAGAAGCTGCTCATGAGAAGAAGACGACGCGAGCGCACTCACTGGGGTCGGTCGTCACGACGAGGGCCGAGTTCTTGAAGTAGCAGTTCCAGTAGTTCCGGCCCCTGGACTGGTAGTAGAGGTTCATGGCGATGGAGGCGTGGGAGATGAGGTTGTCTGGGTAGAAACATGCGCACCCCCGTTGCAGGATGCTGCAGTCCACTTGAGAGCAGGCGTAGTTCAGGTTCGCGGTGAGGGTGGCTTCGTCGGAAGAAGGCTTCGCCACGCACCATGTTTTCTGCGAACAGCACTAGGAAACAATCAATCTAGCCGCTGCTGAATGGGTGAATGGTTCCGGAATTTACCTGTCCCTGCGCCCGCGCGAGGGGCACAGAGAGGAGTAGGAGAGCGAGGTAGAGAGCAGGGAGGGAGAGGAAGGTGGATTCTGCTCTCGGAGCCATGGCCAGCGCAGGGGGGGAAGGGCTCTTGATTTGCTTTGGGTGAGGTGAGGAAGAAGAGAGGGGGAGGGGATTTAAAGGGTGACGGGGGCGGAAGCGAAACGGTAAGAGTCTGCAACGGCTATATTCTTCACCATTTGTCTCGGCGCGGAGGGGGAACAGGGAAGACGAAGCGGCGGCGTCTCCGAGAGAGACGAGAAATGCGCCGCCATGGCGACGCCGTTATGGTGTGAAGACGCCACCATATTTAGTGCAGGAGTAGCTGCAGATTGAGTCATTATGTCACTCGATTCGCACGTTTCCGGTGACATCGAGTAGATTAATTATATATTTTTTATAATTAATTTTTTTTAAAAAAATATTTTAATATTTATATTTTTTAAATATTATATTGATATCAGATAAAAATAAAATATTTAATCTTATTTTTTTTCTTACGTCATTGATTCTACTGATGAAAATACTATAGGGTTTATCATTACGATATTTTCATCGGTAGAGTTGAAGACGTTCGTGAAGAGAAACGAAATTAAATATTTTATATAAACTTGGGAGTGATCGAGCCAACTACTAAATGAAATGAGCATGGCACCAACTCGATTGGGAGGTCCCAAGAATTTCTAAAAATATATATAAAAATATAATTTATAAATAATTTTTGAGAGACTAAATTTCTTGATTTAAAAAAGTTATAATAAGAAGAAAAAGATTTTGAAGTGGGAGAACATAGTGATCTCAACTGATTTGACCACAGAACATTATTTGACTTTCTCTCTCTCTCTCTCTCACTTATGGTAGGTTTTTTGAACGTTGATATTGTGAGAACGTTGGGGTTTCCACTGAAACCTAACTTGTTCATGTGTCATCGTCGACCGTAAGCTCCATTTTTGGTGTCATCTTGCGACTGGTCGTCTATTTCGGGCTGTATAACAATTCACGAAGTGGAATTCTGACCTTCACTCGATCACCAGTACTTTTGTTTTCCACCTCTTCTTCTCCTCCTCTGATGCGATCGGTCGACCACCCGTTGCCACGACGAGTTCGTGACGCTCTCTCTTCCTTTTCAGCTCTTTTTGACCACTTCCTTCCGTCCCTCACCTAATCGCATTCCATCACGTAACCCCACCCGGCACCCATCAGACCATCGAGGTGGACCGAGCTTCCATTCATGGTGAAGAAGAGTCTAAATGACGGTGTTGACGAGAAATAGAGAGTCCCATAGACAACCGCGTGAGACTACATGTCTATTTCTCATCAGTCTCTCTCTCTCTCTCTCTCTCTCTCTCTCTCTCTCTCTCTCTCACCTTCCTGTCGCCTTCCATTCGCTGCTGGTATATGAAAGCCTTAGGAAGAGAGACACAGGCCTTCGTTGGGAGATCGATGGCAGGGAGGAAACGAGAGTGGTTAAGGAAGAGAACGGTGGCGATGACCTCCGGGAAAGAGCGTGGGTGGAGGCACAGGGTCCGCGTCTTCTCGGCGGCATGGAGGCGATGGAGGCAGCACCGCCACCCCGCCCCTCGCCTCCTTCTCCTACTCGACGCAGCCGCCTACTACGTTCTCTGGGTCGTCGAGGCCGTTGCCGTCGTCGCCACGCTCTGCTTCTTCTACCTTCGCTTCGGGTTCCGCCTATGAGTGAGACGCTCGTTTGGTGCATCGCGGCATGCGATCGACACGTCGATTACAAGGCCGCGTCGTAGTTAGATTCTGAAGAGAAACCATTTGCTGTTGGTCGCGTACGTCCTGTATCCGTTGTGCTTCTCTTGGATGCTATAATTGCTGCACATTAAGCTCGCTCTATATCTATATATTGGAAGAGATGCAGCTATGGAAGAGAGCACATTTGCATGGGAACAAACTCGGAATGTGTTGTTTTGATGTTGTCTGGAAGTTTAACTTGGATTCCATATTGCCTCATCCATTTTGGTCCCTCCACCAACTCTTCATAGTGTTTAATCAAGAAACAAGAGCGAGGAGAGAGTATTGACATCTGTTCTTCGAGTGTTGTAATGTCTAAAGGAGGAAAAGGGATTTGATTGGTTGGGAGGGAGGGAGGGATTTTTATTTTGACAAACATGATTGTATCTTATATCTTAGTATTCCAATTTTATCGAAGGATAGAAAATATATGTATCTTGTATTGTGTTTCGGTTCATCCCTACAAAACAATGATGCATTGATTCCTGTCTGAGTTTAGTGTAAGATTGATTAAAAATAATGATCATACAATTTGAATAATTGTGATTAAGGATAAGGGTTGCTTGTCCCCATAGCACAATATATATATTTTTTTACCTTAACTATTATTACTTGGATTAAAAAAATTATGTAGTATCTAGGTTATTTTCTTATTCTTGATGAATGCATCGAAATGTTTTGGTCATGTCAGACATATTAGATTTTTTTTTTTCATTTTAGGTGGATGCACCACACACAAAAGGTAAACAGTAGTCGAGTCGAGTACTTTGGATGTTTTTTTATCTTCGAAGGATGCATCACGTATAGAAGAGATGCTTTAAACGTGTTAGGTGCTTTGGAATTTTTTTTTTAATTTTATAGGAACACGTTATTGTTGTTATTGTAGAAACACATTGTGTGACTTACAAGTCAAGTTGGGTGTTTCAAATATTTCTTTTATTTTGAACGAATGCATCATGTATCAATAAGATGCCTTAGTCGTCTGTCGTATGAGGCACTTCTTTTTTTTTTTATCCTAGATAAATATATTTTGCATAGGTTCATGGGTTCTTATCGTAGAGACGTAATAGAGGGAGCACCACCACCACAACCCTTGCATCCTTCTCCTCCTCGATACCATTGTTTACTATAGTCTATGGGTCATTGATGCTATTGTCATCGTCGTCATGCTATATTATTTGCTCACCATTACACTACGGGATTATGTATCCGACACAATGTTTATTTCAGAATTTTGATTATTATAACTCGTATTAGAAAATGATTAAATAGTATTTTAATCAAGCAAAAAGGATGCTTTGGTCGTGCTCGGTGTAGTTGATATTTTTTCATCCGAATGAATGTATCACATGCAGAAAACATTTTGATCATGTCGAGCATATCAAATATTCTTTTTTATCTTGAGTAGATGGATCACAAGGATGCCTTAATCATATTGGACACTTTATATTTTTTAAATGGATGTTTCGGTTACGTTGAGTGCTTCATATATTTGTTTAGCTTGGGCAAACAATAACTCGCAAAAGGGAACACTTTAGTCAAAGTCGAGTGCTTCATATCTTTTTTATCCTCGGTAGATACATGATGCACAAAAGATATACTACGATAGTCTTCAATATTTCAAAAAGTAGTTGACTTAGATGGATCGGGATGTTATAGACTCAGATGGGCGGAGAGATGATTAATCTAGATTCTCGAGATGATAGAAGATGAGATTAAGGATATTCATTTTTATCACTTCTTAGTGATATATTTTTTTTTGGACACGAAAGCTTTAGTTATGTATTTCTTTTATCTTTGAAGTTGGCGTTTTCGGAAGTTATGTATTTAGTGAAATATAGATGTTCGATGCCTATTGATGAAGGTGTGGATTAGTACAAATCGATATGTTTCTATTATTTTTCAAATCTTGTTATTGTTTCTCTTGACATAATCATCATGAACATATACCTCATGAACATATACCCTACCTTGTCTGCTTTGAATCTCAAACTCTTTCGCTAACGACCCAAAGCATCTGATTGAGATGGGAAGAAGGTGAGAGTATAGTTCTCAATGTTGCCTGATAAAAGTAGTTGAAAAAACTTGATACATGAGGATGCTAAAGATGACATGTAAGATCATTTATGTCTTGCCGCCACCAGCGCGCCGGCCACCGCGGAGCCGAAGAAGGAGGAGAAGGAAGAATCCGACGAGGTGGGGCTCCCTCCCATCGTTGTTATACCACGAGCCAAGCAAAAGATGGGTTCCTTTTTCCTCGCCTGCTAACTGTTTGCTCATTTATCGTGGGGGTTTTTTTTGGTGTTTGTGGTGGCAGGATATGGGCTTCTTCAGCTTGTTCGATTAGAGAGGCAGTTGGGCGTTCGGCATTTCTTGGACGTGACCATTTCTTTCTTTTTCTTTTCTTTTTCTGTGATCGAATATTGTTTATGGTGCAATGAACTCGGACTTCATGAAAAGTAGTTTTCATTATTTTCATTACACCAAAATCAAATTAGGAGACTTGTACTATTTTGTGTATTATGCTCCTGGGAAAATACGATTGAGAACAGGCACTGAAGGTGAGCAAGGTGGGGTGTTGTGTTCTTCGACTCCCTTTTCATCGGGTTACTACTACTTGAAACCAGGGCCCAGTGTGATGAGCAACCCCATAAGCTAATACTACAAGTATGAAGAATTAACCGGAGAGTTGATGATATCAAGCTCATTTGTTGATGTTGCACGCTTGAATCATTTGTTGCTCCTACCGAAACAACAAAAAGAAAATGTTAAGGAAACCATGAGCACTATGGTATTAGTATATCAGTGATCCGGGGAGGAGGTATATATCTATCTGATATTAGTATTAGTTGTTGACATGCTAATTGTCAACCCAGTATCACTGAAAAATTAAATACATGTTTGGCGTCAAACTACTGATTATGTGTCTGAAAATATTCATCAAGATGGCCCTGGGAATTCTATTTTTTTTTAGTTAGTAACCATCTGACTTCATAGATTTCTTAATTATATCATTTAATGGAATGCTGGTCTATTTACCTTAAGATCCTTTCTAAATGATCATTTTAACTTGTCTATTGATGTATGTATGCTACAAGGAAAATATAGTTAATAACAACCATAACTACGATCTTATAGTTTATATGAGAATTGGCAAGTTTAAATTGGAGATCTTGATAGTCACTTCAATGAGGTAATTCTAGTAGCTACAAAACTCATTTAGCATGGAGAACCTCTTGAACGTAAGGTTCTCCATGCTCATTAAAGACGAGGACGTCTACACCTTTGCATCATATGTCAAAATCAGGTGAAAGAGAAGCCAACAAGAACCAAAAATTTATGAAGATTGACCCATTTTTCATAGCTTCGACTGTCGACGTACCTACATAGGTTTAAACTCTAGCATGAAAAGCAGCAGTTCGATGAAATACTATTATTATGAAAGAATACATCAAATTTGTTCTAGAATTTATTGTTATATCAAAAGAACAAAGAAATTCATCAAGCAGCAGAAATGA